AAAAGTAAATAAATAAATAAAAATGTGCTTGAGGTGGGCAAAATTTAAACAGGTGCTGACATGGGATAGATAAAAAGTAAATAAATAAATAAAAATGTGCTTGAGGTGGGCAAAATTTAAACAGGTGCTGACATGGGATAGATAAAAAATAATTATATAAATGAAAATGTGCTTGAGGTGGGTAAAATTTAAACAGGTGCTGACATGGGATAGATAAAAAATAAATAAATAAATAAAAATGTGCTTGAGGTGGGCAAAATTTAAACAGGTGCTAACACATAGATAAGAAAAAAATAATAAAAATGTGCTTGAGGTGGGCAAAATTTAAACAATGGATAGATAAAAAAAAATAAAAATGTGCTTGAGGTGGGGCAAATTTAAACAGGTACTGACATGGATAGATAAAAAAAGTAAATAAATAAATAAAAATGTGCTTGAGGTGGCAAAATTTAAACAGGTGCTGACATAGGATAGATAAATAGTAAATAAATAAATAAAAATGTGCTTGAGGTGGGCAAAATTTAAACAGGTGCTGACATTGGATAGATAAAAAAAAAAAAAAATGTGCTTGAGGGGCAAAATTTAAACAGGTGCTGACATGGGATAGATAAAAAAAAAAAAAATGTGCTTGATGGGCAAAATTTAAACAGGTGCTGACATGGGATAGATAAAAAGTAAAAAAATAAAAAATGTGCTTGAGGTGGGCAAAATTTAAACAGGTGCTGACATGGGATAGATAAAAAAAAAAAAAATGTGCTTGAGGTGGGCAAAATTTAACAGGTGCTGACATGGGATAGATAAAAATAAATAAATAAATAAAAATGTGCTTGAGGTGGGCAAAATTTAAACAGGTGCTGACATGGGATAGATAAAAAATAAATAAAAAATGTGCTTGAGGTGGGCAAAATTTAAACAGGTGCTGACATGGGATAGATAAAAAAAAAAAAAAAATGTGCTTGAGGTGGGCAAAATTTTAAATAGGTGCTGACATGGGATAGATAAAAAATAAATAAAATAAATAAATAAAAATGTGCTTGAGGTGGTCAAAATTTAAACAGGTGCTGACATGGGATAGATAAAAAAGTAAAATAAAAATGTGCTTGAGGTGGGCAAAATTTTAAACAGGTGCTGACATGGGATAGATAAAGAAAAAGTAAATGAAAATGTGCTTGAGGTGGGCAAAATTTAAACAGGTGCTGACATGGATAGATAAAAAAGTAAATAAAAATGTGCTTGAGGTGGGCAAAATTTAAACAGGTGCTGACATGGGATAGATAAAAAATCAATAGATAAATAAAAATGTGCTTGAGGTGGGCAAAATTTAAACAGGTGCTGACATGGGATAGATAAAAATAAATAAATAAATAAAAATGTGCTTGAGGTGGGCAAAATTTAAACAGGTGCTGACATGGGATAGATAAAAAATAAATAATAAATAAAAATGTGCTTTGAGGTCGGCAAAATTTAAACAGGTGCTGACATGGGATAGATAAAAAAATAAAATACATAAATAAAAATGTGCTTGAGGTGGGCAAAATTTAAACAGGCACTGACATGGATAGATAAAAAATAAATAAATAAAATAAAAATGTGCTTGAGGTGGGCAAATTTAAACAGGTGCCGACATGGGATAGATAAAAAAAAAGTAAATGAAAATGTGCTTGAGGTGGGCAAAATTTTAACAGGTGCTGACATGGGATAGATAAAAAAAATGTGCTTGAGGTGGGCAAAATTCCCACACAAACTCACGATGTTGATGTATGACAGAAGCAGGTAATTTATGCCTAATACGTAGTTTTGATGTTTTGCGCGCTGTTACAAGCTCGCCATACTAGGCTGGTATTTGCGGAGACTGCATTGCCGTTGTTTATTGTTTATTTATTTATTTTTTCTTCGTAGTTCTTTTGTTATGATTTTTTAAAAGAATAATGATGTGATTGTAATATGAATGCTGTACATATTTGTCTGATCTTCTGTTTCTTTTGCTGCCTCTGTCTGTCTGTCTCTCTCTCTCTCTCTCTCTCTCTCTCTCTCTCTCTCTCTCTCTCTCTCTCTCTCTCTCTCTCTCTCTCTCTTCTCTCTCTCTCTCTCTCTCCTCTCTCTCTCTCTCACTCACTCTGTCTCTCTCTCTCTCTCACTCACTCTCACTCACTCTCTCTCTCTCACTCTCTCACACACTCACTCTCTCTCTCTCTCTATCTCTCTCTCCTCTCTCTCTTCTCTCTCTCCTCTCTCTCTCTCTCTCTCTCTCTCTCTCTCCTCCTCTCCTCCCTCCCTCCTCTCCCTCTCTCTCTCTCTCTCTCTCTCTCTCTCTCTCTCTCTCTCTCCCTCCCTCCCCTCCCTCCCTCCTCCCCTCCCTCCCTCCCCCTCTCTCTCTCTCGTTGACAATTACACTCTGTACACTACCATTCCCCCGAGTGCACAAACACCGTACACGTTCAGTCCACGGTTTGCATAGAGAGTCATGAGCGTGTGCCTCGGGCATGGTTGCGGTCGGGGAGTCGGTCGGTCGGGTCGGGAAGGGGCAACTGGTCGGCTCCTGCTCTCGGCGCCCATCACAGGGGTCGGTTCTCTCTCTCTCTCTCTTTCTTTCTCTTTCATTTTCTCTCTCTCTCTCTTTCTTTCTTTCTTTCTTTCTTTGCTCTCTCTCTCTCTCTCTCTCTCTCTCTCTCTCTCTCTCTCTCTCTCTCTCTCTCTCTCTCTCTCTCTCTCTCTCTCTCTCTCTCTCTCTCTCGGAAAGTCGGGGTCGAGACAGAGTTGTTGCTAAGCTCTCTTTCTCTCTCTCTTACAGCCGGTAATGTTCGTGCTTTCTGGGTCTTTGCCTCTTTCTCGTGGTATCTTTATTGGTCTCTGCCTGTCTCTTTTTTTCTCTCTTGTCTTTCTCTGTCTGTCTGTCTGTCTTGTCTTGTCTCTGTCTGTCTGTCTTTCTCTCTCTCTCTGTCTTCTCTCTCTCTCTCTCTTCTCTCTCTCTCTCTCTCTCTCTCTCTCTCTCTCTCTCTCTCTCTTCTCTCTCTCTCTCTCTCTCTCTCTCTCTCTCTCTCTCTCTCTCTTCTCTCTCTCTCTCTCTCTCTCTCTCTCTCTCTCTCTCTCTCTCTCTCTCTCTCTCTCTCTTCTCTCTCTCTCTCTCTCTCCTCTCTCTCTCTCTTCTCTCTCTCTCTCTCTCTCTCTCTCTCTCTCTCTCTCTCTCTCTCTCTCTCTCTCTTCTCTCTGTCTCTCTGTCTTTCTGTCTGTCACACACACACACACACACACACACACACAACACACACACACACACACACACACACACACACACACACACACACACACACACACACATACACACATACACACACAGAGTTATAATATGCTTTCGTTAGCGTAAATACAGAACCCGCCATTATAAATGATACATGTTATCATATATTTATCTCTAGGAAATACTCCACTTCCTCCTTTTATGTAAGTAGATTATGTAAGCGTGTAAGTATGTAAGTATGATTTAGGACTAGATGTTGAAATACGGGAAGTTCTAGAAACCACCATTTATTTATTTTTTTTTTTTTTTTTTAAGGAAGTCCAATATGAGATTTTTGATGAAATACATTTGGGTGGAGAGAGAGATAGAGAAAGAGAGGGAAAAAGATAAAGAAGGGACGAAGGAAGGAAGAGATTTGATTGAGAGAGAGAAAACAGACAGACAGAAAAAAGCAGACACAGACAGACAAGCAGACAGACAGACAGACATAAACAAACACAGACAAAGACAGAAGAAGAAAAATAAATAAAAAACGAAGAGAAAGGAACCACGAGGAAGAACAGCAATAACGAAGACCTTATGCAAAGCAAGATACATAAACACGAATAAGAGAGCTTGCATGTGTTCGGATCCCTGGCATAAACAAACACACGAACGCACAAGAAATGAATTCGGAGAAGAAAGTTGTTACTGCCTTTGGTGTGTGTGTGTGTGTGTGTGTGTGTGTGTGTGTGTGGTGTGTGTGTGTGTGTGTGTGTGTGTGTTGTGTGTGTGTGTGTGTGAGGTAGGTAGGTAGAAGAGATATGAATAAAAAAAAGGCTAGTTTTTACGACGGGATCACGTGGTTTTGAGGGAAGTGCAATTTAGAGACATTTAAAACCTGAAATATTTCTTATTTACTGTTTATGTGATGCATTCAATAGGTTTACTGCTACTGTATTTGTGCTGTATGCAAGGCCAAAGTAACGATCTTGTATTAGCGCTGTAAAGAAACCTAAAATAACGATCCTACATTTGTTATAAGTAACACCGAATAACTTTCTATTGTATCCCATGGTGACGATAACTCATTTTAGTTATATTCAAAGCTCAAATTAACAAAACTGTATTTGAGTTGTATTCAAACCCCAAATAACAATACTGAAGTTGTTCTGTGTTCAAGCCCAACCTAATAATTTTGTATCTGCGTTGTATTCGCACTCAACGTGGCAATACTGCAACAGTGCTGTATCCCACAGCAACGATACAGTTATCCGTGCTGCATTCAAGCCCAAAGTAACCATACTGTATCTCTCTCTCTCTCTCTCTCTCTCTCTCTCTCTCTCTCTCTCTCTCTCTCTCTCTCTCTCTCTCTCTCTCTCTCTCTCCTCGTTCTCCCACCTCTCTCTCTCTCTCTCTCTCTTTCTCGTTCCCCACTCTCTCTCTCTCTCTCTCTCTTTCTCGTTCTCCCTCTCTCTCTCTCTCTCCCTCTCTCTCTCCTCTCTCTCTCTCTCTCTCTCTCTTCTCTCTCTCTTCTCTCTCTCTCTCTCTCTCTTCTCTCTCTTCTTTCTTCTCTCCCTCTCTCTCTCTCTCTCTCTCTCTCTCTCTCTCTCTCTCTCTCTCTCTCTCTCTCTCTCTCTCTCTCTTCTCTCTCTCTCTCTCTCTCTCTTTTCTCTCTCTCTCTCTCTCTCTCTTCTCCCACTCTCCCTCTCCTCTCTCTCTTTCTCTCTCTCTCTCTCTCTCTCTCTCTCTCTCTCTCTCTCTCTCTCTCTCTCTCTCTCTC